TTTCTACTTGGAAACCTGTGAACTCTCTCCAAACTGCTCGTGTTTCTCAGTGAGCTACTTGGGGGGAGCCCAGCAGTCCTGAGAAAGGTCCACAGCTATTTGGAGATAAAAAGAGCCTGACCCGGGGGGAAGGCCCACATGCTGGCCATGTGCTTGCACTCTGGGCGCCTCCTCAGGCATGGCCTGGCACCATTCCTGGGCTCTGGCCTGGCCTTGCTGCCTGCCTTCTGGCGCCTTCCTGCCCAGACCCCAGCCCTGGCTCTGCCTTCTCCCCTCTCCTCCCCCAGAAACACAATTCCCCCTCTGCCCCTTCCAACCTCCCCCGAGCATATCTTATGCCTCCTGCACATTGGGCCCCACCTGCTGTCTGCCTCTGGTGACCTTGAGTCCTTCCTGAATAGTGAGGTGGGTGCCAGGGCCTGGCACAAGCCTTACCCAATCCCTGAGAATGCCAACTTTGAAACTAAATCGTTCACACGCCGAAGAAGAAAGAGCTGTTTATGTTCTTCCCTGACATCCTCCAGGCCACCCACGTCAAGGCTGACACACGTCCGCTGTCTTTGTGTTTCAGCCATCTCTGCACCCTCAGAGCAGCCTCTCCATCAGGCAGCCAGCCCTCGGCTAGCACACGTTAGGGGGCTTGGTTTGGCCCCCCTCTGTTCATCACAGTGCTGAATGGCTCTGAATAATTACATCTCGCAGACTGACAATAAAGCTTAGAAATGCCCAGACCACAAAGGGCAGGGGTACACAGCAGCCCAAATCAGGAATCTTCCTGGAAAAGGTGAACAGCAGGAAGGCAGACGGCTACCTGAGGCCTGGCACCCACACCCACTAAAGGGGCACGCAGCACCAAGACCTCTCAGAAGAAAGCCTCAGAAAATGGTGGGGTTTTCAGCAAGGGACAGAGTGGGAAAATTCTGGCTTTTGGGGAGGTGACAAGCCTAACTGGTCTGCGGAGGGAAGTTATTTTTTCAGCTGCCTCTCTCCTAGTTGGGGACTAGAGATGCAGCCTCAGCCCTCCCATGGGCACAGGTGGTGTGGCCTGGCCCACCACATGCCACCCAGCCAGCCCCCACCCAGGACCTCCTGAAGGCCAGGGGGAGTGGGGGCTGTGAGGCAGCCCTGGGGAGGGGTGGGAGGGCTGCCCCAGCTGCAGGAACAGGTTTCAGCTGGCTGCCTGCTCCTTCCCTGGAGCCTGTCGTGGCACTCAGAGGTCCATCTCTCACAGGCCTCTGTCACAGGCTGTTAGCTCTCGCAGGTGCTGTGCTTGGCTGAGACTGGGGGCCGGGTTGGGGGGAAGGGGGAGCCTTGGGAACATGTCAGCCTGTCCCCTCCTGTGCCTTGGCTTACTGGGGATAAATGCTCCTCTGGGAAGTCCTCACTCTCCCCTGAAAAAGCTACACCCTCACAACCCCATGGAGATTCTCTCTACACACACCCCCCATACATATGTGTACCATTTATACACATATGTACACACCACACATGCCACATACACACCAGACACCTGATATACTACACACTACACATCACACAAATACATGCACACATGTGCATATTACATATACATACAAACTACCCACACATGTGAGTGCAACATCTAGCTCCCATTTTCTGACAGTTCTGTGGCAGCGCCCAATGGCCCATGCCACCCCAAGGCTGCCAGAGAGAGGCCCTCTGGGTGCCCCAATCTGCACACAAAGCCGCCACTGCATGGGACAGAGCTTCTTTCCAGCCAGCCACGTGGCTGCCCGGTCCCTCAGTCCCTGCTTAGGCGCCCCTCCTTCCCTCCCTCTTCCCCCGTCCGGGCTGCAGGGACCTGAGCTTTTTCAGCCTCCTTAGTGCTTGAAAGCAGAGAAACAGAGAGATTCCATGAGGCTTATCTATGCCAAGGCCCCAAAATGGAGAATTCACCCCCTCAGTGGAGATGTGTTCATGCCCATCAGATCAGAAGTTCCTCCTCTTAAAATCCTGTACCCACTCCCCTTATTTCGCAAGCACTTCAGCTCAGCAGACAAAGCTTGCCAGGGCTAGGCTCCGGAGGTCCCCTCAGACCCATGTCCTACCATTCCCCTGTTCCTGGACACCCAGATGTGCTCTCCTTCCTAGTCTGTGTTCATCCTGGGCTGGGCTTGGAGCAGCCAGATAATAATGCCTATGCCCAGGCCCTGTGTGCAGGAGCCAGCGTGGGCTGGTGGGAGGCAGAAGAAACAGGGGACTGCAGGCAAGGGGAAGGAGCCTGTGTGTAAAATTGTAATATTTCCAGAATATCTCGCCTGGCTTCAGTATGTCTGCATATCAATAGTCATTCAGAAGTGGAAAGAAATACACGGCTTTAGTGCATTTGTGTCTTTCCTCAGGGGTGGAGAGAGGTTCATCTCCATATCAATGGGTAATTACCTGGGCAAGGAGGGCTTATCTGTACCTGAGATGTGAGGGAAGGGCCGGTTTTGCTTCTGCCAGAGCGGGAGGGAGAAACGGCCCCAGACTGCAGTTTGTAAGCAATAAATAGATTTTAAACTTTATTTCTCCCTTTGACTGATTTCGGTTTTTAGAGGTATTTTGCCCTGGGTTTTCCTCTCCTCGGACTTAAGGAGCATCAAGAGAGGGGGGCCTCCCAGGGCCTCGGAGGCCATCCAGGAAGAAATGGCATTTAAGGATGAATCCAATCACGTCATTATAACATGTGGACCTTACTGGATCCTGATGTTTTAAAATAATTGTGAATTAGTCTGCTCAGGCTGCCATCACAAAATTCCACTGACTGGGAGGCTTAAAAACAACAGAAATTTATTTCTCACAGTTTTGGAGGCTTGAAGTCCCAGATCAAAGTCTGGCAGGGCTCCATTTCTGATGAGGCCTCTCTTCCTGGCTTGTGGATGGCCACTTATCCTCACATGGCCTTTCCTGGAAGTGTGTGTGGGTATGTGGATGGAGAGGTTGTAGAGACAGAGATGTCTTCCTCTTCTTGTAAGGCCACAAATACTGTCGGATTAGGACCTGTGGGCAAAATTGTAACATTTCCCGAGCATCTCACCTGGCTTTAGTACATCTGCATATCAATAGGCGTTCAGAGGTGGAAGGAAGTATGGCTTTAGTGCATTTGTATCATTCCTCAGGGGTGGAGAGAGGTTCATCTCCTTATTAATGGATAATTACCTGGGCTACGGAGGGCTTATTTGTACCTGAGAGGTGAGGGGGAGAGCCAGTTTTGCTTTGGAAAAAGAGAGGGGACCCGACTGGAGTTTGTGAGCAATAAACAGATTTTAAACTTTATTTCTCTCTTTGACTGATTTCGGTTTTTAGAGGTATTTTGCCCTGGGATTTCCTTTCCCCAGACTAAGAGGACCCCCTTTTATGATCTCATTTAACCTTAGTTACCTCCTACAGGACCTATTTCCAAATATAGCGGCAGTGAGGGTTAAGGCATCAATATGTAAATTTGGAGAGGACACCCTTCAGTCCATAGCAGATAACGTTATGAGGAATTGGCTGGACGGATATTTTATTATGTTGAGGTATTATTGCTAAATATCTGTTGGGGGGTATGAAAATGGTAATATTGTTTCATATATATACATGTGCATGTATATAACATGGAATGTATGTACATGTATATGTGTGCATAAATAGAATATTACCATATGACTGAGTATATACATATGTATATATGTCCTTATCTTTGAGATGCTCAGCAAAATATTTGTGGGTGAAGTCATCTAATGTTTGGGATTCAGTTCAAAATTATATGGGAAGGGGGAGTGAGTGTGGTTACAGATGGAGCAGGACTGGCCATGTGTTAGAGTTGTTGGGTCTGGATTATGGGTTCATAGGGGTGCATTATATTATTCTGTCTATTTTTGCATATGTTTTAAATTATCCATAATAAAGCTAGAAACATAAAGTGAGGAGGATTAGTGAGATTTAGGGCTGGGGGAAGGAGCCAGGCATGTGCTCAAAGAAATTGCTCAAGCGAAGCTCTGAGAGAGTGTGGCTGTTGGGTGCATGAGGCCCCAGGGGTTCGCAGGTGCTGAAGTGTGAAGCTGGGCCAGGCCCAGGCACTTCAGGTACTGAGGTGATTGTGGCTCAGTCCCTACACTCTAGGACAAAGACCAGTCTCAGCGGAGGGCCCTGGCTCAGAATGAGCAAGACCAAAACCCAGTGGGGGAGCCCTAGAGGGCCTGTGAGGCTTGAATAAGGGGGACAATGGTGGTGGCCATTTATTCTGGAAGGGCTGGGAGACCAAGTGGTGGAAGAGGGGTCAGCAAGACAACCATTGTGCTGGGAAATGGAAAGCCTGACATGGAGTGGTAAGGATGTGGTCACCCAGGATCCCAACCAAATCTTTGCTGGAATTGCTCACTTTTGCTCTGGAAATCTGACTTCTTTTGTGTTGTTACTGGGTGATTTTGTGCAAGTTACTTAACCTTTCTGATCCTCAGTTTTTTCTTCTGTAAAATGGGGATAGTTATAGGACCCACTTCATAAAGTTGTGGATTAAATGAGGAAATGCTTGCCTAGCACCAAGAAGAATATGTTAGCTATTATTATCAGAGTTTCAGAGAGGAAGCCTCCCTCCCCTGGGGCAACAAGGTGGAGACAACAGCTGTTAACAGGAGTGAGCCCCAGCGGGGAGATGGGAACGCCACAGTACTCCTCCCTACCAGCCCTTAATGGGTCTGTGATTTATTGTTAATTTAAAAAGCTATTTCCTTACAACAGTGATTCGGGTCAGATGCAGCAAAGAAGTTGAGAAAAGACCAGGCAAAATCAATGGGACCTTATGAGAGAAAGTGAGTGGCCAGAGTTGCTCAGGCCAAGAGGCCAGCCAAGGGCCCAGCTCCAGGAAGTACCTCTGGGTCCAGCCTCACTGTCCCCTCAGGTGACTTCTGGAACTGAGGGTCCCTTGGAGGGAGGGGTGAGGCCTGAGCAGGCTCCTCCCTCAGCAGGGAGCAAGGGCCTTTCCCCTTCAGGGTTGTAGCTTTGGGACCACTTCCTCTTTCTGCACTGAAGCCGGGAGCAGGCCTGCAGAGCCCTCCGCAAAGAGAGAGCAGATTCCAGAATGCCTTAGCCCTTCTGTGACTCTGGGTGTTGGGTGGGTGCTGAGTGCCTTGGCTGGAAGCCTCCCTCCCTGCTTCAGGGGCAGCTGAGGGCCGCCTTGGAGGCCTGCAGGATGGATGGGGCAAGTGAGGAGAAGCCGGCATCTGTGTCCAATCTGGTGGCTGTGTTTGAGAACAGCAGGTACTGGTGGTGGGGTTGGGAAGGGTCGCCTGCTGCCTGGTAGCCTCCCTCTAGCTCCCCTGCACACCCCTGGCAGCACAGACCCTCGCGGTCTCCAGGCTGAGGACCTGGTCCAGGGCCACATGGGCCTCACAAGGAGCAGTGGTCTCTCTGCGCCCTGTCCTGGACACCTCGTCCTATCTGGGCAGCAGCCATGCCCCTTGGTCATGGGTTCCTTCGAGCATAGGACAGTGTCGATGGGGCACCAGGAGCTGGGCAGGCATGAGAGCATGTGTGTTGACGGGCTGGGGAGAGTGCAGACATGCGTGTAATTATGAGTGAGTGTGGGTGAACCAAATGCAGTGTTTGGGCTGCATGACTCCACCCATTACCCCTCCAGGAGAAATAGTAGCTAATACTTATCAAGCATTTACTCCTTATGAGTAGGTTGACCATATAATTTATCATTCAAACCAAGACACAATTGAAACTGAAAGTGGATGCCATTAAATTTTTTTTGGCAGGAGTTGGGAAGGAGCAATAGGAAAAGCTGACACTATATCAAGCAAACCAGGATACAAGATCAGCTTCCTATGGGGCATTGTTCTAAGTGCGTTTTGTTACTTATTTCATTTAATCACCAAACAGCTTACTGGGGATGGGTTCTATTTCCATCTTACAGATGAGGTAATAAAGGCACAGAGAGGTAGGAAGGCTTTAAGTGCTTTAAGTTCATGGGCAATGAGGCAATGCAGTGGCTTCCATATGAAAGGAAAAGGCTGGACTAGATGTACAAAGGTCATTGGTGGCACTAGCAGGGATGTGTGTGACATTAATCCACTCTGCAGGCATTTTTCTTAAGCCCAGGACTGTGTTAGGGACTGTCATAGGTAGGGTTATCTGGAAATAGACTCTGAGATAGATTTGCTTCAGGTTCACTGGGGAGAGTTCAGGGAACGGCACCTGTGGGGGTGAGGGACGCAGCCATGGGCAGAGGAAGGGGTTGTGCTGCCTTGCACTGGCAGCAGAGGCCGCAGCCTGACCAGGGAGCTCTGATGCTGGGATGCCCCTCATGAGGTTGTTTCACTGAAGCAAAGGGCTAGGTTTTTGTACCTCCATGTGGACTGGTCAGTGGATGTGGACTTGACCTTGAGTGAGGCAGCTCTCCTCCAGGCAGGGCAATTCCCAGAGAGGGACCCAGGCAACACTCATCAGCCACCATACTGCCAGTGCCTGGCCGGGAGATGTGTGGGGGGGGGGGGGCAGGGGCAGGGGGTAGTGCCTCAGCCCTGAAGCAGTGTGGATGGCACAGCACAGCATCACACAGGAACTTTGGCAGATGCAGGAGCCTACAGAATGATCCCTGCAGGGAAGATTTCTGCCTCTGGATGCTAACTAAGTTCATGAATTACTGTGATACCAGGTCATGGAGAGTAAATATCCTGAGAGGGGCCCAGACTCTGTGCTGAGGGGACTCAGAGAGACAAAGCCTGCTGTGGCCTTCATGGTGGAGGTGGCACCCATGTGGACCTAGAAGGGCAGTTTAATTCCCTGCCTCTCCCAGGGCTCTTGGCTGGACACCTTCTGTTCAGCACCGAGAACAGCTCAGATGCCACCTTCCTAGCCCACCACTCCCTTGGGTGTAGGGAGATGGCACCTCCTCACCCAATATGCCAGGCATGCCCAGTGGAGACCCCCAGCATGTGTGCTCTTCCCAGACAATAGCTCTAGCAGGAGGAGGCAGCCCTCGGACCAGGCTGGGGCAGAGGAGGTCTCATCGGGAAGATGAGAGTCACTGCTTTTGTGAGGAGCCCCTTGCCAGCTGCTGTGGTGTGGGCTTTCTTGTGAGATCTCCCAGGGCCTCAGCTGATCTGAAACTGAGGGGTGAAGAGGAAAAGAAGCTGGCTTGGGGTCCTTGGAGAAAAATACGGAAGCTGAAACCAAATGTAGAACAGAAAGCCTGAGGCTCAACTACTTCCATGAGCTGAGGAACCTGGGGGTGCCAGAGAGGGGTGGGGGTGCCCAAGAGGAGCCACGGGGGACTGGGTCCCAATCTTCTCTCTGCCATGAACCAGCTGTGTGATTTGGGGCAGGTCACACTGACTCTCTGGACTTGTTTTTCCTTGACTCAAATGGGAAGGGGCAGTTTAGAGGGAAGGTTCAGGAGCCAGCTTGCCTGATCTGGTCTTACCTCTGCCATCCCTATCTCAAGTTATTTATACTCTCTGTACTTCTGTTAATTTAGCAGCCAAATGGGGGTGATGGAAAACCTTCTCACAGATTTTTGGAGCTTTTTGGAGCTTTTGCCTGGTTCTCCATTTCCCAGCCTTTCTTGTGGGGGTACTTAACATGTGCAGTCGCCACAAGCCTTTCCACACTGATGGGAACAGGGCACAGCCCAGATCATTGGATGTACTCAGAGTGGCCGCTGCTATCCACAGAATTTAACTGGCCTGAAACACCCTCTGTGTAGGGTGACAGAGCTGCCCTGCAAAGGGCAGATCGTGGGACAGAGGGAATAGGGAAACTGCTCCCAGGCTGGCTTTTTCCTCCGCTAGGGGTGTAGCGGGCATAGCTCCTGCGGAAAGGTTCTAGCTTTGGTAGCTCTGCCCTCCCTTTAGGGAGTTCCATGGCTCCCACCTTCCCTCCATGTATCAGGTACAACTCAAGGGTGATCTTGAGTTGGGGGGCACTTAAAAACATCTGTGTGCAATATTATTCAGCCATAAGAAGAAAACAAATGCTACCATTTGCAACAACATGGATGGAGCTAGAGGGTATTATGCTCAGTGAAATAAGCCAAGCAGAGAAAGACAAGTGCCAAATGATTTCACTCATATGTGGAGTATAAGAAGAAAGAAAAACTGAAGGAAGAAAACAGCAACAGAATCACAGAACCCAAGAAGGGACTAACAGTTACCAAAGGGAAAGGGACTGGGGAGAATGGGAGAGTAGGAAGGGATAAGGGCAGGGAAGAAGAAAGGGGGTATTATGATTAGCATGTATAATA